GGAGGGAGGGAGGGAGGGAGGGAGGGAGGGAGGGAGGGGAGAGAGAGAAATACAGTAGGGAGAGAGGGAGAAAGAGAAAGTAGGTAGATGTTTCCAGGTGTATTTATCCATGTGCTGGAGAAGGAAATCGCTGACAATCTGCAGCATTTAAGACTTTGTTTCTGTTGGCACAGCACTTGATCAATGTAATTCTCATCAATCAGTTAAAGAACTTTCCAAAAGGGAAAAAAAAGTTTTTACACTCTGCAAACCTTCCAAAAATGGCCCGTTTTTCGCAAAAACTGGTCCTTTAAAAAAAAAGGCATGAATAGCCTTGGGAGGGCTTGCAGAGTTGCTCCTGGGGGGTGGGGAGGTCAAAATTGAGCAAAAAAACCGGCCTGTTTTTTTGTCAAAAATAATTGCATGCCTAGCCTTATGGAAGCCTATAGAGTGCTGCTGGGGACTGGGGGGTTGGGGGCAAAAAAAGGCCAATTTTTCTCTCATTTCTGCCCTTCCCAGCCCCCAGGAGCTCTCTGAAAGCCTCCATAAGGGTATGCACAACCATTTTGGTGAAGTGGGCAGGGCTTCGGGAAGCAAAAAATGTGGTATTCAATGTATGATGCACCCAGATTTTCAGCCTCTTTTTTGAGGAAAAAAGGTGCATCTTATACTCCGAAAAATATGGATAACTATAGTGTCTTTCCCTCTCAGAGTTTTAGAACTGTTGTCTTAGAAATCACTTGGATAGCTTTCCATTAGGAAGCTATCTGGTTTAGATCAATTATGGCATCCCTAACAAATGTTTGTCTCCATTGAAAGAAAGCCTATCGCAGGGGTGTCAAACACGCGGTCTACGGGCAGGATGCATCACGTGGTGGCCACACCTACCCCGGTTTAGCGAAGGGGAAAAAAGTTGTCACCTAATGGCAACATGACGCCATGAGTTTGACACTCCTGGCCTATCACAATGAAATAACTCTCACTAAAATATTTCTCCTCAGGTTGAGTTAAAAGATCTATGACATCATAACAACCAGCCCATTACTTCAAAAGTTCTGCTCCATTTTGTGTGATAAATCATTACATACTATATTTGCAGACATTATAAATCTCCCCATATCCTTTATTCTCACCAAGCTACTTTGCTCTTTCCATCGTTTTTGTAGAACATAATTTCCACATTTGTTAAACCACCCTTTCTTCTCATCTGGAAGGGCTACAGTTGGTCATGGTCTTATTTTCCGTTCTGTTGCCCCCTGGTAAAAGTGACTGCATTTGCTTAATATCAGTGGTGTATTACCTATTAAGCAGATTAAGCACGTGCTTAGGGCACCAGGCAAAAGGGGATACCACAAAGTTGATAAAGAAAAAAAAAGCAATGAAGATTTGTACAGTATGTACAAAGGCGGTGGGGGGCACCAAGATTTGTCAGTGCTTAGGGCACCAATGAGCCTTAATCCGCCACTGCATAATATAGGCTAGTTATAAAGGTTAGTTTCTTGTGAGTCAGCAGGATTCACAGACTTTATCCATCTGAGTGCAGTATTGTGTGAATCCAGAAAAGGAATTATACATTTTTATCCTATATTATTTTTACTAATAACTCAAGGCAGCGAACATATCCAACACACTTTCCTTCTTCTATTCTTCCCACAACAACTCTGGGAGGTGGGTTGGGTTGAGAAATAATGACTGGCCCAAAGTCACCTAACTGGGTTTCATGGCTAAGGCATGATTTGAACTCAAGATGCCCTGCTTTTGAGCCTGGTGCCTTAACCACTAGACCAAACTGTCTCTAAGTTCAGCATAGTTGTATAAATGTAGTCAATGTGTAACTAAATGAGACTGAAGACACTTCCTTTGGTTAAAACTTTCATTGCCCACCTCCTGTTACACTTTCTTTAGATCCTAGCCAAACTGCGTAATAAAACAAGTGATAATTGCAGCGGTCTCCTACTTAGACAACTCACAAAAATCATCATACGCAAATCCTACTTTAATCAGTAGGATATCCCCCCCCCCCTTCCTATATATGTTCCATTTCATCATCCAGCTCTCGTTCCATTTCTGGTTCTTTTTCGTATTAGCCATGTGGGTACAGGGCAAATGGGGATATCTCATTGTTAATGGCTCCAGAAGGTTGGAATGTATAGAAAATGTACTGTAGGAAGAGGCATTTCATTGCATCAATTTTATTCCCTGCACTGATGATACATATAAAGGCAACAGACCCCCTCCTCCTTCAGGCCTGCTTGTAATGGCCTCTCCAGGCCGATACAAGGTGTCGCCATTCTATCCTGAATTTCACAACCAGTCTTGTACTCCTCCCATTTTGGGGGGCCTGATCAACAAAACACACGTCCTTCCTATCCCTTGCCTTCCAAACCCTCCCTTAAACAACAAACACACTGGCCTTAATACTCCAGTCCTTTTCCACAAAACAAGATGTAACTGGCATTGCAATTATTCATGCTTCCAAATTCTCTATTGCTCCTCCATCCCCCCCCCTCTCCATTGGCATTTTTAAGTTTTGGGAGGCAGATATTTCCCTTTATTTATGTTACTCAAGAAGCACCATGAATATCAATGGGTATGTATAAGCAGATAGTACACCATAACGTTTATTACGTAATTATCATAAAACTCCTTCACTCAGAAATGGCTCAGATTTTAGAAAGGAATCACCCAGATCGACCTGAATCCCTTTCATCTTATGCTTATCCAGAGCACTGATTCCTTGGCTTCTTGCTCACCTGAAAAATGTCGTTGGCACACTTACGACAGAGGTTGTGTTGGCAGGGCAGGATGACCACTGGTTTGGTGAACATCTCCAAACAGATGGGGCAGATAAGCTGCTTCTCCAGGTTATCCATGCTCTGTGAAGTCCCCAGCATCGGCTTGAAGCCCACGGCAAAGTTCATCCCCGCAACACCGATTCTTGCCCACAGCACACTCCAATGGGCTGGATGGATGACCCCCTCAGCTTTCCCTAAGTCTCTATGCCTGTCTTGCCAATCTCTTCTCTCTCTGCCTTGTTCTGCCTGCCTATTTCAGCTCTCCTCCTTTGGCAGTGCTGGCTTCTCTCTCTTTCCTGGCTTTTACACCTTGGCCTTTTCCTATTTTACTTCCACTTGGGGAATTTCCTTCCGTCCACCAAGCTTGCTTCTCTTTTTCTAGTTTGCCTGTCCAGATCTTGACTTCTTTCTGACATCATTCCCTCTCCTGAGCCTACAAGGCTATTTTTAGTAGGCCACATGACCCTAATGGAATCCCAGCTGCCATTTTTGTCTCAGTAAAGGGTGCTGGGGGGGCAAAGCAACAGCTGTCAACGGGATCAGGTGACACTTAGTCACTACTCCACAACAAGCTATGACACCTTCAGAAGATGGCTGGCAGACTGGGGGGAAGCAGCCAGCAGCATACTCGTGTGCTATATGCAAAACTGTAAGATTCAAGTATTGTTGGGAAAAAGAATTAAATCTTTTCACATATTGGATAAAAATAAAGACCTTCCACTAAAGTATAACTGGATGTTAGGTAACTGACTGGAATCAGATAACAATTCAAATTGGAAGCATCTACTAAGGAATAAAATGAATTCTCTTATTTGTATTTCTTCAGACAGGTTCCATGAAATATTGCAAACAGAGTTTGCAATTATGAAGTCAAGGAATGCTGTGAATATGTAAGTGGCTGCTCAGTCTCTTTTTTTTTTTGTAAGTGCAGTTAAGGTGTTGGCTCTTGGTTTGATTGTATTTGACACATTAAGCAGCATACTCTTCTCAACATTCAAAACGAATCATCAAAATATTAAGGGGAAACATGTAAGATTACAATAGACTTAAAGGTAACTCCCATAAATACTTTGCAAAATAAACAAGTCTTACAACTTTGACATTCAAAGCAATTTATAGCCATTAGCCAAGGATACTTAAAAAACCATTGCTTTGAATCACACTAACCAGTCTTAACAACATAAATATCTAAACCAGCCTTGCAGATCCTGGAACCTTCCAAACAGGATTTCCAGCAGTCGCAATCCAGATTTGGATGGTTTCCAACTGGGGTTGGAGCAATAAGGCTGCTTAAAAATAATTGGGATCTTTAGTATAAAGAAACAGAAATCGATATTGTGTACTCTTACTCATTAAAATGGACAGTGTGTAGTTTGGGAGGAAAGTATTCTCTGCTAATTACACAATCATTTTAAGCCTCTTTATCTGAATAAACATTTTACTGGGAAACTATGTAGAAATTCAGGCTATATATTACTAATTATATTTCCCAAAGTTTTTATTACTAACTGGCTTAAATGTAAGCTGACTTCAATTGTAAAGCCTGGTGGATGGATGGAATAAACATTTGAGTAATTAGGTTCAGTATATAGGACAATTTTATTTTTGTATAGGTTCTTTCTTCTTTCCGCATATAATATTTAAAAAAAACAAAACATTAATACCTATACAAACATTTGTTAATTGCCTCAGGTTGAAACACATCATTTCCATCCATTCTTGCCTCTTCAGATGGATCATATTTCTCCAGGATTTCGGTTTTCCAGACCTGCTACTTATTATCCTTTTAAATGAAATGCCAAAAGATGAATTCGGTAGCTTCTGCAGGAAAAGCACTCACCCATTGACTGAATCCATCCCACTGAAATGCTACATACTGTATGGGATTAGAATACTTGGAAAGGCTTCTTAGAAAAGATGTGGGTGGACTTTCAGCTTACAACAAAAACAGAAGATTTTATCACTGATGTCCAAGATAGCAGAAAACAAATCACCAATAATCACTATTAAACACCGCAGGACATTGGTGCAATGGACAGAGCCTGCGGTATGCTTGGGATATGCAAGAAAAAGCTAGAAATTTTTGCATTAAAATACATACACCGATTAAGATAATCTTAAAAGATTAATGTACGGTTGAAACCAGCTTTTTTTTTTAATTTTGGGACTGATGGACAAAGGGTTGGAAAAGAAATTGATTTTTTTTATATGCAGCATTATTGTATGCATAAAGATGGAAGGATTCGGCATTATCCCCAATGGAAGAATGGTTGGTAAAAATGATATAACTGACTAAGTTCACTTCTTTGGTTAGGGAAAAGAAATATCTACAATTATTGCTAATGGGAAATCCCTTGCAGACTTTTTTGTATGAAATAGAAAAAAATGGACATTATTTATGGTTTTGATGATTAAACAGAAGGGATTAGAAAGAAGAGAGGTATGTTGTAACCATAGAGGTAAAGTTATAGCAATAGTCATAGCCCTTAGACTTATATACTGCTACACAGTGCTTTACAGCCCTCTCTAAGCATTTGCTTTATATTTTTTCTATGTTTCTTTCTTGCACTTCTCTTTGATTCCTTTTTCTTTCTTTATATTAGCTTATGTTAGGTTTGTTTATTCTTTAAAAGATCTTTAATAAAACAATATATAAAAGGAAACATTCTTTTGGACCTAGATCTGATTCTCAAAGCAAAAATATGTATGATTATGTCTTCCTGACCCATTTATTATTTTCCCAACTGTAGAGAATAGTCACTTCCTAATACTTATTTTTCTGCTAAAGACGGAAGGAGATGTAGTCAAATTGGTACCAAAGTCACCATTCGTAAGCCATATAATACCATTTAGACTGAAGAGACTATGCAGTTTTTAGGCAAGATTGGGTCAAGCATGTTAAGTTCTAGAATAGGGCACATTTGTAATTAAATTATAAAAACACAATTTCAAAAATTCAAGTTCCTGTTGATATACAGATACCCATTTGTTATACTCCTCTTGACAATTATTCAGCTCCTGCTTCTATTCTATTGTCAAAAAGTTCATATGATTAAGATACATTCTTTGGAGCAGGATTTCTCAACTTGGCTATTTTTTTAAAGTGTGGAATTCTGGGAGCTGAAGTTCACACATCTTAAAAGTTGCCAAAGTTGAGAAACACTGCTCTGAGGCAAAGGAACAAATTAGCTTTATTTCCTATGTAACAGTCTTTTTAAAAGATCTTGAAGCATTTAAGAATAAAATATGACTGCAGCAAAACAGTCAGACATGGAAGAGTAGAAATCAAACCTCTCCTCAGAAGCCTGGACCTTTACATACGACGGTTGCCGCTGACATTATTTATATGTTGCTGGCACCTTATTCCACCCCAATGTGTGCGAGAGAGAAAGGGCTCTCACAACCTGTGCTGTCTAATGACAAAATATTTAAAAAAGTAAATTTCTATAGTATCACTTGCTTATCTTATAACTTATGATCATTTCCATCAGTTATATATGTTTTGATCAATATCTATGTATATCTTGTAAATTTGATTTAGCGCTCTTGATCATTTAAATATCAATATTTAAATGGGGTTTAAATATTGATTCTGATTTCCAAGGTAGCCCACAATGTTTATTCCTCTCTAGGGCCTATTTATTTATAAAAACGTTGAATAGGATAGATCTAACAGAAAACTCAATGTACTTCACACATTCCCATCTAGGTTAATGTGCAAATTAAATACTCATCGTTGGTACGGTTGCAAGGCCAGCTATTGATCCTTAAATAGCATAATCCAGCCCACAAATATATTAAAAGTAGTAATTTGTTACTTGCCTTGTTCTACTAAAAATTTCAGCATATGGGGAAAACTAGGATATCCTTGAAAGACCAAGCAGAGATTGAATGCAAAATACGTAAGACCTACCCCAATATTCCCAGGAATGTATGAATGAATACATCCTAAGGAAACATGAACAAAAAAACCAGCTCTTTCCTTCAGAAATATTTAATTGTGCTGATAAAATCCTAACAATTCCTTTTTTAATCACAGTGTGAAAAATGCCCTTGCCCAGTACTGCCCCACAGAAAAGGATTCGGGGCAGCTTAAGAGGCAGGATGCTACACAGCAACTAAAGCTCCCTGGAGCAGCAGTTCATCGTGGGAGATGATGGGCAACACCAACTTACCAGGCAGGCACTCCAAATCCCACCATACTTCACACTACACCCTGAAATGCAGCTTGGCACCAAAGCATGGTCAGAAAGGGCAGTCCCAGTTGCCAGGGGACAGCCCTGGCAGGGCAGTTTGCCTCCCTGGCACTGGGAGGCAGGGAGCCCAATATCCCCTCCTCCATCATGAGTTAGGCTTTGACAAGGGCACAATATGACTGGCTTAAAAAACATAAAATACCAAGATTGGAAGGAGAAAGAATGACTGGGGATAAAGACTGCTGGGCTGGCAACATTCATCCATTTTTCTTTTCCTTCAGTGCTGGGGGAATAATACAGGCTAAACAAAGAACCGTTCTGCTGCTGGAGAAGGGGAAGCTGTTCCTTGGGCCCAAAGAGGCGGAGCTAAAGTGTCTCTCTTTCTTTCAAGCCAGCCCCTTTGCAAGGTCTGAGTATGCCTGTGGCCATGTTCCCTGAGAAGATTTATGACTCTGAAGCAGGCATTCAGGCACCCTCACCAAAATCACTGCACAGCATCACAACTGGAGAGGGAGCTCTTTGTCCAGAGTCCAAATGATTGGTAATTCAGGACTGGGCAGAATGTCTCTGGAATGGTTGCTGGAATAGGAACTGTGCTGTGACTGGAAACCGAACTCTGATGGAGGGAAGAGAAAGTGAGGTTAGAAAAGGAGGAGCAAGATAGAAAGCTCTAAAGCGAGTTTGCCTACTAGAATGAACAGATGTTTGTACTGGGCTTAAGAAATGTCTGCTGTTGGTCTGTGCACAGCATTCATGATCTGGAGAAAAGGATGCCTCTTCTTCTTCTGAATAATCTCTCCCAGCACTAACCAGTGAATCAGTCACCAAAATAGAAGAGACTGAGAGGGAGACAAAGCCAACTATCGACACATAAAATAAAACAATTGTTCAGGGTGGCCTTAGCCTTAGATGTCAGGCCTGGAAGCCATC